AGTTACACTATATAAAGCAGAAAATCTACTCGACTGTAATATTTAGTTCCCATTAAATGTTCATTTACAGTAACCAGACAAAGTAAAGATCTTTCTTGCAATTTTTTACCACAACTTCCTTATGGTTAGTACCAAATGGGTACGAAAAATCTAACACCAGTAAAAATGAATAAATTTATTAATTAAACACAACGAAATTGTCCGAAGAGCACCAATGCAACTTCGCATTGGTGCAGTTTGAAGTCTGTTTCGATGATTTTTTTTGTTGGTACACAATCTCAAATTTTTGTTACTAAGACTTTCCAGTCTTTTTATTTGTGTGCTTTTCCTTTTGCTTTTCTTTGGAGCCGCGTTTCTCTGGCTTGTCAGCTTTTGTTCCTTTCTTTTCTTTCGGCTGCTTACTTGACTCGCTTTCGGTCTCCTCCTTACTTGAGCCTTTTTTTAAAGGTTCATCTATTTCTGTTCTCTTCTTCTCTTGCAACCTGCTTTCAGCCTTTTTGAGTTGTTCTTTGCTTTTCTTTTCAAGGTTAGCTTTCTGGACCGTAGTCATCGAAGGAGCCTTTTGCGTGTCGGGAGACTTTTTAGTGTCCGCTCTACGTTCAACAAAACTGTCTAACTCGCTGCTCACAGCCGCCCCCGAATCATCTTGCATAGCAACGGTTCTCTTAGCTTTTTCACCTTTTTCAGAAGTTTCTTCTAGTGTTGCTGCCCTACGTTCTGGGGTGGATTGGGGTGAAGCTGAGCTCGCGCGGGAGGCTTGCTGATTTGGCACACTATCCTTGGTTGCTTTCTGACCCTTGTCCAGAGTATCTTCTACTACTTTGCTTTCTCCTACATGTGGCAGCTTTTTTTGATGTTCTGATATGAACGCTTGCTCTATATCAGCAAGCCGCGCATCCTTTGGAGGAGCCTGTATCATACGTTCTTCCTCGTCTCCTAGTATATCTCCAACCGTTCTCTGTTTTCCAGTGGTTCCTATAATGAAAAATCATGGCAAAGTTTCAGGAAGAAGATTATTATCATTTTCCAAAAGGCACCTTCCATATCAAAATCCTCGTCCTCTGCTTCTTCAGCGGTTTTCATGACGACTGCCTGTTTAGCAAGATTCGCCTTGAACTCAGGGGTGGTGACCTGCAAAATCGAAAATAAAAATTTTGCTAAGATCTCGAAATTCTTCTG